ACCTTACAGCACAATTATACAATACACAGTACACGCCTGAAACCCAAACTTATGCAATATGGAAATCAGTTGAGAGAGTTTTTTTTTTTTTTTGGTTTCAATTATTTTCTTAATTTTTAAGTTACTAGTTAGATAGTTGGTTATGAGCCTTATATTTTTCCTTTTTTGAGACTTAAATTTTTGTTAACCCTTGGTTTAATTTATTATTGAGTTATTTTAAAGTAGTATACACTTTTTATGTGATATATATTTCAAGCTATCATTCAATGTGTTTCTAAATTGTTCGATTTGATACAGTTCTTGATTTAAAATTTAGCCTCAACACAATTTGAATTGCAATTTGATTGTTGTCTAGGAATCTTAGTTATTTTAATATTGTCTTCTTCTTAATGTCTATTTTCTAGGGTATAAACAGGAGAGAAGGGGTCTCGTGTGTGTGAGATCTTCACATGCTTACAGGCCTCTCATTTCATCTTTTCCCCTTTTTATCCTGAATTTATGACAATAAATAATTGAGCCTTTTTTTCCCAGTAGTTTATTACACACAAGATTCACTGGATGTGTGATCTATTTAATCATTAAAACTGCAGGGAAAATAAGAATTTGACAGGAACTGCAAGATATGCTAGCATGAACACTCACCTTGGCATTGGTTTGTGTCATCATATATTTCACTGCTATTTTTTTAATGATAAGTTGTGGTGTTCTCTGTTGGATATATGATGTTTGTTCTTTTGTGATGATCACTGCATAGAGCAAAGCCGAAGAGATGATTTAGAGTCTCTTGGTTATGTCCTCATGTACTTTCTGAGAGGAAGGTCATTATAGCCATCTACCCTTTATTTTCTTTCCAATGCTTTTTTGCAAAATTTGTGTTTAATTTTTTATTTCTTTGTAGTCTTCCTTGGCAGGGACTTAAAGCTGGTACTAAGAAACAGAAATATGAGAAAATAGTGAAAAGAAGGTTTCTACCTCAATTGAGGTAAGTTTTATTGCTATCCGCTACTGGTGCATAGCACGGGCTATATTTCTTCAGTTTCACTGAAAACATATTGTTCATTCCAGGCCTTGTGCCGAGGTTATCCAACAGAATTTGCATCTTATTTCCATTACTGCCGGTCATTAAGGTTTGATGATAAGCCAGATTATGCTTACCTGAAAAGGATATTTCGTGACCTCTTTATTCGGGAAGGTTTGAACTTGTCTTTTAGAAATCTCTTCTTTAGTCTGTTTTTTATGTTGACCACATGTATACTTCGAAAAATACTTTTCATTTCAATTTTTGAAGGATCATGCGAACGTGCTTTCTTAATTGCATTTTGTGACAACTTTGACAGGCTTCCAGTTTGACTATGTCTTTGACTGGACTATCTTGAAGTACCAACAATCACAACTGGCTACTCCTCCTGCACGTGCCCTTGTAATTGTCTCTCTCTTCTTGTTTCTCCCTGAATCCTTTTTTTTATGATCAATGTTTTAAAGTTTGAGATGGTTATTTTTCAGGGCCCAAGTGCTGGGACTAGTTCTGGAATGCCGGCTGTTGTGGCTAATGCTGATAGACAGACTGGTAATTTTTTTTTTTTCAAGTTACTTTATTGATAGGTCATATGTCCCATCTATGCCCTTTTGGTATACTTGATTCACAATTGTGTACCTTGGTATGCTTAATCCGCAAGTGCCTGGCTTTCCTTGTTTATTGTGTAACCACTATCCTTGGCACAATCAATGTGTTCCTTCTATGTGTGTGTTGTTGCTCCCCAATCATTTATTGATATTTGAAGAGTATAGTCTCCTGTACCTTTGGTATTTCCAATTTTTTCTTTCAGCTAGACTAGTTTTTATGATAGCTTGTCTTGTCTTTTTCTCCAATTTTATCTTTTTTAAGATTCTGAAAGTAGCTTGTTTTCATTTGAGCTGATTTATGCTGGCTTGTCTATCTCCCTGACAGGAGGGGATGAAGGGCGAACTACTGGTCTTGTTTCGATGGATTCTGTGAGGCGAAGAATGTCAGGCCCCATGTTAAATTCTGTAAGTTTCTCAGAGCAGAAAAATCCAGTCACCAATAATCCTTATATTTATGGATACCATGGTCAGTTGTTTGGATTTGGAGATCATGAGTTTCATTGAGGAACCTGGTCACCATTCCTCTTCAATATGTGTTATGATGTCAATTCATAAACAAACTTTAATATTTCAGCTTATTTCAACGGCCATTATCTCTCTGTCATGCAGTCTCCAAGCAACAATATTTTGGGTCAGTCAAGTGGGTCATCTCGGCGTGTTGCTGTTCCAAGTAGCCGCGATGCGTTTGTTGGTGGGGAGTTGGATCCACGAACTCGCACTACTGAAGCTAGCCCTGGAGCTGCTCACAGAATTTCAAGCGGGCATAGAAATTCACCACTGGGAGCTTCAGATGCAAAGAGAATATCTTCTGGAAGAAATGCTTCTCATGTCAAGAATTATGAATCAGCAGTCAGGGGCATTGAGAGCTTGCATTTAGAGAATGATGAGAGGGCCCATTATTAAGTTGCCACCTTTCATCTTGTAAATTTAAGAATTGTCTGGCACTTCTCTAGTTGCTGATGCTGCTGAACTGAACTGTGAGGAAAGTTTGATCTAAACTCGGAAATCTGGGTTTAGATTGTGAATACACTTGAAGCTGAGAAGCTGATGAACGAATTTGAGCTTAGATTTATGCTTGCTGTAAAGCTGAGCCTAATTGGCCTTTATCTTCTGGCGGGAACTCCTGAATGTTATGGTCTCTTATCCTGTGAGTTTGTTATTGATATACCTGATGTGTCTTGGACGGCACAGTTCAAAATTACTGAACCAGTGACAATATAATTAGACATGCTACTCCTGTTTTCGGTGATACTTAAAATGCTACCACGATGCAGTTTTGTGGAGATTATTATAGAAGGAAAATATCTTCTGGTTCATGGATTGTTTTCCTCCTGAAGTTCTGTCAACGTAATTCATGGCTTTCCTATTTTTTAATATATAAATCTGCATGACATTTGTTTACAGTTTACTAATCTGAATTAGCCTTCTTTAAATCCATTAACTGTCTTCGGATACTGGTCTGATTCTGACTCCTTTTTTATTGCTCTCAGAAGAAATATGAACTGCTTAGCTATTCTAGTTAGAATGTGGAAGTTAAGAGTTCGATTATTTTGTGTTGTTTAGAGAAATTGCAATATCAATGTAATTATATTATATGCAAGCTTTTACCGAGAAGTGTCTAATGTGTGTTTCTGATTGATGACATCTGTCTAATGACTTATCATTTAAAGATAGAATTTCTGTAGAATATATATATATATATATATATATTTATTTATTTATTTTCAATTTCTTATCTTTTCTAGAATGTCTAATTTGAAGCTTTCATTATTCATTGATACCACTGGTCCTCGCGATAAATGATAATCGTTTTCTTTTGCCTTGTGTTCATATTTGTAAGATTGCACTGCTAATTGCTAAATGAACGATGTGGCCCCCTCCCCACTTTTTTGCGCATTATTCACTGTAAGGGGATTTAAAGGGCTTGTTCTAATAATTCTATATAAAATGACTTGTTTCTAAACATTGACATTTATTTCTAATAACTCTAGTCAATCTACTTATTTAAGATTGAAGACCATAGTCATCATTTTGACTTTTTATAATTTTATTTTCATGCTTTATTTCTTATTGTCCAATGGTTATAGCCCAAGTTCTCAAAGTAAACAATCAAGGTACAGAGCAGCTATGGATATCCACCTTCACATTCATAACAAATTTATCTCAGCTTTTTCTGAACAATTTCTCACAGCACTATTCTTGTTAGCACAACCAAAAGATGGCAATAGATATTGCTTCTAAATATTTGCAGTCACTTTAAGTATTTATTTCCACCAGTCAAGTAACTCAAATCTGGCACCCAGAACAGATGATTTCAACCTTTTCTATGAGCAAGCTATGAAACTCCCAGTAACATTTTTCCTCATTTAACTCTTGTAACCATGAATCATACTTTCCGCTCAAATTATGCCTCAAGTTAAAAGGAAAACTTCAGCATGGAATACAATCAGCACAGCTCTCTTGCTTTCACTTTCTCTACTCTTTGCAATATTCATTTCAGAAAGAGCCTGAGCGTAATCCCTTCCAAAAACAATTGTCCAATAGTTTGAGTGTGCCTTAACACAATAATTATCAAGCAACCTAAAGCTTATTTATGAGAACAAGCAACTGTGCATTCTTTAAATAAATGGTGGCGAAGCCCCTTCATGACAAGAGTTATAGAGGAGAATGTGGTGTACTGGTGTCCTCCAAGTGATGAGCTGTTGTGATATATTTTATCTAAAGTCATGTGAATCTGAAGAATGAGATTCATCCTTGTTTCCTTCTTAGTTACTCCTTTGACAAAATTCATCTGAACTGTGCTGCTTTGCTTGATTATGAACATTTATCAAGAAACCTTAAAGAGTTTAACGAAGAAATAATAATTGGGAGAAAAAAATTGCAACCAGAGCCTGCACAGTATTCACGATTAACAACGCCTAATTGTGATCCCTACATTGAATTTTCATTCCTTCCTTCAAAGTAATCAACTAGAGGCTGTGTTCAAATTGCAATTGCACACGGAAACTTCATCTAAGTATGTTTGAACAGTGATTTAGTCTGTATAGATTATAGAAGACGTTTTGCAAAAGGCTCCGAACCACCAAAAAGACATGCCTCTCAGAAGAACGTGTATAGCATCCCTTATCTTTCTCCGCAAGCCAGAGTATCATTATGCAGATATGCAGGAAAGTAAAGTCTGTCATAGTGCACTGCACATTCATATCATAGTAATTCAAACAAAAATACAAAACAACATCAAGTAAAATTGAGGAACCCACCACAAGGCAATGATGCAACTGGAATTTCTGTTTCAAGCAATTTTGAAACCACAGAAGCCCCCTTATGGATTGAAGTTCATCAGTTTTGGTTTTGGATAGAGAGAAACAAAAGAAATATGTCACGAAAACAAAATGAGTTACATTTATTTGAGTTTAGATACATGGAAAAAGAAATTTAAAAGAAGAAAAAGCAAATACCATGTTTTCTTTCCATGATTGACCAAGAAGACTACATTCTACAGGATCCAAAATCAACACACTGATCACAATTTCTCTGCTTTTCATCCCATGAACTCTGACCATCAAATAAATTAAGGGCAACCAATTATTTCTGAATCAACATGTAAAATAGCCAGTTGAGGTAAGCACATGTTGAGACGAGATTCAAAGTTCAAATTCTTCACCAAGATGATTACTGAAATCTAGCTACACTCCATGGACAACTCTGGGTGTACTTGTCCTTGAGCCACTTGAAACTTTTTCTCATAGAGCCTTTCAATTTACCCTCAACAGTGTATACCTTGTAACTAGCAACCCTTTTCTTCCTCTGCAACTCCGGATCAGTAAAACTCCAGTTCTTAGAGGAAGAGCTGTTTGTGGACCTGCCTTTCTTGGACTTGAAACTCATATCTTTTCCCATGTGGGTTTGAGTTGGATGTGCAGCAGAGGAAGCATATGAAGCACTGTAGCATCTAAGATCTCGCATGCCAGGAGCCCCAGTTGAAAATGATCCTGTTCCAGAGCAAGAATAGGGCTCAATTTGATTCTGCACCCTCCCATGGCCGTAAGACTTGGATCTGAAATCTTCCATTTTCCAAGACTTGAACTTTTTACGATGGCAGTCTGAAGCAGCGGCTTCTGCTTCGGAACGAACAAAATAATGGCATTGTTCATCCAGAAATTCATTCTTAATCCATTGCCAGCAACTCCCATGACCCTGGCGGCGCTGACTACGAAGATATTTGCTGGCGTCTGTGACAGTTCCAACTTCCCAAGCCTACATGTGGCCCTACCTAGCCAATCAAAACGAACCACGTAATAGGTTTTTTTTGGACAATAACATAGAGGTGTTAAAAGGATAATTAAAACAGGTGTCAAATATCAAATTTTAAAAATTTATAATTAAGATCCTATTTAATTTCTATTCTCATTTTTTATTTTTAAAAATATTATTTTATGATACAATTTTTAAAATTATTTTTAAAATAAAACAAAATAAAAATTTGTTTGATTATATCAATCAAAAAACAATTTTAGAATTAAAAAATAAATTAATAACAATAGTTATAGGCAGTTTTTTTGGCCAATGATTATAAACAATTAACAGTAGTGGTTCATAATAGAAATTAATTAAAATAATTATAATTTTTAATAATTAAATGTAGTGTATTTTAAAAATAAACAACTTAAAGTGATTTCTATTTTTTTTGTTTTTAAAAATAAAAAATAAAAACAGTTTAAAAAATAATTAAATGAAAACACTTATCCAAACAAGTTTTTAAATTTTCTATTTTTAAAATAAAATTTTTTAAAAATGAAAAGCAAACAAGTCTTCCATCTCTCAATTTTACAACTCTATTGTAATGGATTTGTAACTTGTATTTTAAATTTTAATAGAAAAAATAAATTTTTATTCTTCAGTTATGTTAAAATTTAAAAAATAAGTTGTAAATTTATCACAACGTAATTACAAAATTGAGAGATTGAGTTATAAATTTTTAAAGTTTGGCTGTTGGCACTTAACTTAAATTAATTTATTTTTTTAATATCTCTTTGTCATTCTCCTTTTTTTTTTAACTATCTTCAAAATTAAATTACAGAAAGTGAGGGTCAAAAAGAATGGAGAATGAAAAAAAATAAAAAATATACAAGTGCTCAACAAATAAGTACAAAAACAATGATGCTCTTTCTGTTAAAAAATGTAAGGCATTTTTAATTAAATCTCATCTTCAATAAAATAGTTATCTATTTTAAACTAACCCTATCTTTTCATATTTACCCTTATTAAATACTCTACAATAAATATAAAGTTATTGTCAATAGGGACACTTTTAAAAAAGATAATAATTACACTTTAAAAAATTAAAAATACTTTATATTTTTAAACGAAGAAAATAATTATTATGTAGTCCAAGAATTTATCTGATATTTTGATTTGTTCTTAATGATATATTTTCCTCCCATTTTGGAATTTTCAAAAAAAAAAATCTGTTACTCGTTATTCAACTATAATTATTTCTTCAAATATTATAATCATTACTCAATCAAAACTAGTAACTAATTTTTAGTATATAAATAAAAATGAAAAAAAAACTTATCATTTTCTATTTCATTTTAGTTAATGACTCAAACAAAATAGTTGCTAATTTTTTTTTTAGTTGGATTTGAGTGGGAAAAAAATTGCAAAGATGCACTTATCATTTGATATCAGCCTGTATTTATTTCTCAAAACAACACAATCATTTTCTAATTGTAACTTGTCATTGATTTTTAGTAGCACTTGACTTGCTATAAACAAAATTTGTATTTGGCCAGGGAAAAAATGTAAAAAAATTGTCATTTTCTATTTCATTTTTTTCAATAGCCCAACTATAGTAATCTCCGATTTTTTAACAATTATTTTTATTTAAGTTTTAATATGGGGGCTACATAATAGTTTTTAGAAAAAACAAAATTATCAATACTTATAAATTTAACAAATTTTTGCTTTTAGTCCTCGCAATTTATCTTTAGTGTTTCAATCTTTATAGTCCCTAAAATTTAACATATTAGAGATTTGAAGAACAAATGTTACTCAATTTTGCTAAAATTATAAGAATTAAAAATACTGAAAAATTATAGGAAGTAAAAACAAAATTCAATGAAATTACAGAGATCAATAATTGTGTTATATCTAATTATTACATTGATATTTATTTTTCATTTACAATTTTTTGGGTTTCTTTTTTCCATTTTCCCTAGAATGAACATGACTACGTAACTGAGAGTTTTTCAAGTCTATTTCGATAAGCCGAACTTGTTTCAGATTTGTAAACATTCAACTTACGTAATGTATGGGAATTATATTCTTTTAAAAGAAGTCAATTATGGAGAACCCCTTTCAATTTTCAAGTCACTATGATATGAAATATCAATATTTCACCATATAAGGTATTTTATAGATTAATGATAAGTAATTGATGTTCTTTCTTCTTAAATATCCATAATAAATAATGATTATTGAAAGTATATGTAGATGAGATACACAGTAATTTTAGGATGTTAAAGAACATAAATATTTTTTCATAGAGTATAGCTTAGTTAAAAATGTTTTATGAAACAGAAAAAAATATATTTTTACCTACTTTTTTATTTTTTTTATTTTTGGTGATGTACCAGTGTCCTCTTATTGAAGACGTAGTATCCTCAAAATAAAATTTTATATATATATATATATTATGGAGTGTAATATATAATATCTTATAAATTTTCTTATTATTAGTCTAAGTAATGGATAATAAATATATTAATTTAAACAAGAAGTGGATTAGAATAGAAGAAATCTAAAAGACTTATGGTAATTAAGGATAAGATAACATTTATGAAGTTGATAGGACAAGTTGGTTTAGTAAACAAGATGGTAAGTAATAAGGAAAAATTTATGATGACAAGTTGGCTTGGGAAATATAAGTTAACAAATGATAAGATAAGGATGATAATGAGACTTCGGAAATAAGTTAGTAAGTGATAAGATCAAGATAATAGGAAAATTTGGGGAGTACCTTAGTAAGTTATAAGGTAAAATTTATGAAATAGATTTGATTAATTCTTATCCTAACATTTAGAGTCTTTTGCCCGCCGCATATAAATAGCTCTATAGCCTTAGTTGTTAAAAGAAGGCAAAAGGAAATTTTACTGCCGGTAATTCGGTGTTGGGAATGGTAGGACTTTATCTTATTGAGTGTCACTATCTTATTTAGTATCACTACGTACTTCACTTGTATGTTATATCATTCTACTTTTTATTTACAACTTACAATATTAGTTTTCTTTAATTACTAGAATTTCAAGGAAATTGAAATAGAAGGAAACATTTAGTTCCTTAAATTGATTTTTATATATAAATGTCACCTTTAATATATGTATAGGTAAGCAATGTTAATATCTAGAATTTCATGTTATGTAAGCATATTTTTCTTGAATTTTTAATATATTTTGACACAATTGTACATATTTTCAACACTCAAGTTAAAAAATGTGTATATTGTTTTGAAAATTTAAACCATAGCTCTATTTTGATATTTTAAAGCTAATTTATTAACACTTTAATTTAAGGTTTGGTTGGCTACATTTCTGAACTTTTGTTGATACTTTTAAAAGATTTTTGAATAAAGAAATCAAGTGCATGAAAGCAAAATTTCATTAATAGTGAAAACAATGCAAAATTGCCAATTATGTCTCAAAATTGTGACTTTTGACGCGTCAACAAAATGAAATGTTTTATTTAGTTGACAAAGTTAAGATTATGGAGTATACATGACTCATTTTCGGCTATGGCCACCTTTCTGGATTTCTTGAGAGTATGTGAGAGTTTTGGATGTGTGAGAGCATGGATTTTGATAGAGATTGATCTTGGGTTTAAAGACTGAAAGAGTTTTTAGCTTCATATCTTAGTTCTTCTTCTCCATCCTCCTTCCTTTCCTTTTATTCAATGTTTGTGCTAATATGTTTATATTTTCTCATGAGTTTTATGATCATTTGTATCTAAACTCTTAATTTTAGGATTATTTTAAATCATTTATATGGATTAAATACTCATTCTTTTTTTGTATTTGTGATTGATGATGTGAGTATGTTGGTTTTACTTCATACTTAATGCTTCTAGTTGATTGGTCGTCAATTAGATTGTTGGGTTCGCTTAATTCATACTTAAGAGAGCTAGGTTGAGTGTTGAACTTGAGTTAAATTATTTAAGAATTTGAAGTTTTTGCAAGTTGAATGGATGGTTTTGTTAATGAGGTAGAGATACACTTATTAACATTAGATAGTGACATAGGATTTGTAAGAAAAATTAAAATTTAATTAGTTTATTAAGAGATTAATTAAACTAAACACTTACTTGGAGACTTGGGAGAGCACTTGTGGATAATTTAGTACTTTTGACTAGCATAATTTATCATTAAGAGCAAAATATATTGGGGGTTGGTTAGGTATTCTTGAAGTATAATGAGGGATAAATAACCTAGGCCTAATGACTTTCAAAAAGTCTTGAATCATTCTCTTTACTTTATTTTCTAGTGTTAATTTAGTTTGCAAAATCATCTTCACCTAATTGTGTTTGATTCAACTTGATTGAGTTCGCTAAATCTTTTGTTTGACCATTTTTTTAAACAAATCTCCAAGAGAATGATATTCTATTCACACTTTCTTACTTGTCACGACCCGTGCACTTGTGGAGAGCAATAAGCATTGGTTTAGTTCAGTGCTAAAATGTGTAAAACCGATTAATTGAATAAAACTAAAAGTATAAACCGGACTGAACCAAACAAGGATCAAATTGATTTTTAGCAATTTGATTCGGTTGGTTAATTCAATTTTTGGGCTTTACGTTGGGTTGCTTGGACTTAGGCTAAATTTGTTATTTTTTTACTAAAATAGACATGGCTTGTCTATAAAATTGGGCTTGTAAAGTAATAGTATCCCATTTTAATTACACACATATTATTTATAAATTAATAAATTATATATAAAATAAAGTAATTAATAAAATATATATAATTTATAAATTATATATATAATAATAATAATAATAATTCAGTCAGTTCAATCTATTTAATTTTAAATCTTACCAAGCAAATGGATCAACAGATTTTTTTTTAAAAAAATTAAATTGAACCAAAAAATTGAATATATGAATCAAATAATAAAAATTTAATTCAATTCCATTTTTGATTTTGATTTAGTTTTCCTCACCC